CCATATGTCCACTGAAGTTTAAAGAACTGGATGGCCTTGGGAAGAACAGTTTTAGGTGCCTTGAGTAGCGAAGGGAGGGAGGACTGAAGTAGAGAAAGCAAACAGTCTGCAGTCTGTCTTTCTGACTTGGTGTTGAAATATACATACAGAAAAGTGCACAGCTCCTAAGTGAATTTTACAAATTGACCATACTGGTATATCTAGCACTCTTGAAGTCCTCGTCAGTGTAAGAATCGTCCAAGCCTGTAGAGAATATTCATGATTTTATTTGAGCTAAACGGCGGGCAATTACTACTGGGAGGCGAAAGCTCAACAAATTGAGCAAGTGCTCCTGAAAGTGGCAGTTTTAGCACTTATTTTATATTATACATCAGCATCCGTGGGTGGTAGATTGGGGAGGCGGTAGGAAGCAAAGTGCTGCTTTTGCCTGCACACTTTCCTGAGGGTGTCTCTGCACATTTTAACAGCCTTTCCCTTTTCCTTTTTCTTTTTAAATATATTTTATTGATTTTTTTTACAGAGAGGAAGGGAGAGGGATAGAGAGCTAGAAACATTGATGAGAGAGAAACATCGACCAGCTGCCTCCTTCACACCCCCCACTGGGGATGTGCCTGCAACCAAGGTACATGCCCTTGACCGGAATCGAACCTGGGACCTTTCAGTCCGCAGACCGACGCTCTATCCACTGAGCCAAACCGGTTTCGGAAAGCCTTTCCCTTTTTAAATTCAGATATTGAATGGGTTAGCCTGAATACTCATTCTGAACTCTACTACATTATGATGGTCATCCTGCAGCAGTCCAGCGTCCACCATTCCCATCTGTGACAACATCTGGTCGGGTCCCGGGTGGTTTTTCACTGGAAAGAGCCCCTGTGATGGCAGAAAGGAAAGAACCTCCCAGGATGGTAGGCAACACATCACACATTCAGTGTGCCTCTTTTTACCACACTCACGTGTGTGCCCGCCTCCGTCCTAGGAATGACCATTGGCCTGCAGTTGCTACCCATATGTTGGCATGAACTTGGTGGAGTTTAGGTGTGCATTAGATCCTTTTTAAAGCAGAGTTTGCATATAGTGTGATGCACAGATTTGAAGTTGTACAGATCTTACAATTTGAGTTTTGACTTCTGCCTACACCTTCTGTAACCCGTGCCCCAATAAAATACAGATCATGTCTGTCATCCCAGAAAGTTCTCCTGTGCCCCTTCTCAGTAAGTCCATCCCCCTCCACACATTACCCCCAGGCACCTACTGCTCTGCCTTCTGTTACTGTGGATTAGGTTTGAGGCCATAGAGTTCAAAACATACAGAGTGCCTTCAAGTCTGGATGGTAGGAGACGTCAGCAAATAATACTTATTCAGGTAAATCAGTGCTTCTCAATGGGGCTGGGGGATGCCCCTCCCTCCCCCCAGGAGACTGTTGGCAGTGTCTGGAGATATTTTTTAAAATATATTTTATTGATTTTGTACAGAGAGGAAGGGAGAGGGAGTCTCTGGAGATAACCTTTTTTTTTTTTTTTTTTTTTTTTTTTTTTTTTTTTTTTTTTTGTGGAGAGTCTGTGGGAAGCTGGAAGGTGACTGCGGAGGGGGCTTCGTTGGAGACCTGTGGGCGCAGTTCTTGCTGTTGAGTGGGGATGAGGGCGGACTCCGGGGATAGACTGACAGGAGAAGTGGAAGAAGGAAACAACTTAGGCAATAAAGGGGCAGGCTTAGCCCAATATTAAAACAAGAACAGTGGAAAGGAGAGATAAAGTAGAAATTAATAATTAAGAATCCAATACAGCTCTGACCGGTTTGGCTCAGTGGATAGAGCATCAGTCTATGGACTAAAGGGTCTCAGGCTTGAATCCTGTCAAGAGCATGTACTTGGTTGCAGGTACATCCCCAGTAGGGAGTGTGCAGGAGGCAGCTGATCGATGTTTTTCTTTCATCGATGTTTCTATCTCTCTATTCTTCTCCCTTCCTCTCTAAAAAAATCAATAAAATGTATTTAAATTTTTTTTTTAAAGAATCCTATACATTGTTAAATTTTAAAAGTAAACAAGTTGAGATTGAAAATAAAAGATGGCTCTGATTGGTTTGACTCAGTGGATAGAGCATCGGTCTGTGGACTGAAGGGTCCCAGGTTCAGTTCTGGTTAAGGGCATGTACCTTGGTTGCGGGCACATCCCCAGTGGGGCTGTACAGGAGGCAGCTGATGGATGTTTCTCTCTCATCGATGTTTCTGTCTATCCCTCTCCCTTCCTCTCTGTAAAAAATCAATAAAAATATATTTTTAAAAAAGATGAACAGGAGCATTTAAAAAGTAGAAATCTGCATTAAAATGATAGGCGGCTGTGGGATGAAAAGTGAAATATGTGGAAAGTACATAGGATTAAGGATCGAAAGCGGGAATCAAGACTTAAGGAGGTCAGCATAAGACATTACACTGAAGGAGGATGGCGATAGGGGTCAGTATGAACCTCAAATGCTCAACGGGGAGCGAAAAAGGGGGTGGCAGCTATTACCCAGGAGGGAGGGAATCAGAGACAAAGTCCAGGGTGGGGCGGCCCAGCTCAGTGGAAAGTCCCCACCTCCAGTAGTGTTGTTAGTACGTCTCAGACAGACTCAGAGGGCAGAGAGCACGGAGCTCACACTCCAGATACCAGCGTCCTAACAGGCCCTCTCCTGTGGGGCAGGGAGGGACTCCACTAACTGTGTCAGCAGTAGCTGGCCAACCTTTAACCTGGAAGCAAAAGAAATTTTAAAAATATATTTTACTGATTTTTAAAAAATATATTTCATTGATTTTTTTACAGAGAGGAAGGGAGAGGGAGAGAGAGTTAGAAACGTCGATGAGAGAGAAACATCGACCAGCTGCCTCTTGCACACCCGCTACCGGGGATGTGCCCGCAACCAATGTACATGCCCTTGACCGGAATTGAACCTGGGACCTTTCAGTCCACAGACCGACGCTCTACCACTGAGCCAAACCTGTTTTGGCTATTTTACTGATTTTTATAGAGAGGAAGGGAGAGGGATAGAGAGTAAGAAACATTTGTTTCACTCTATTCAGTGAGAGAGAAACATCAGTCTGCTGCCTCCTGCACACCCCCTACCCCATGGGGATGTGCCCACAACCAAGGTACATGCCCTTGACCGGAATCGAACCTGGGACCTTTCAGTCCACAGGCCAACGCTCTATCCACTGAGCCAAACCGGTTAGGGCAGCAAAAGAAATTTGTAGCAATATTTTCTTGAAATGAAGACCTTTCAAGATGAACACAAAATACTTTCAGGCTGTGTTAATTATTTTAAAAGCAGGTAAAGTAATAACCACTTAAAAAATAACTTCTAGCTCTTTATTTGCTTCTGAAATATGGGGATTTCCTTTTTGTGTGTGTGACTCTAGACATGCATTGCCACAGACATTTTTGTTCTGGTGTATTTGTGTTTTGTGAGTATTCAGAATAGCCTAGTCTTTCACATTACAGGCACTACAAATCTCAGCGCTGTGATTTCCGTGAAGCCGAATCATGCCAAAGTACATAGAATAAGTCAACTACTTATTTATATTTCACCTCTCTTCTGTCCATTTAGGCAGCATTTGGTATGTGTGAGGCAGTCATGGGCCCTAGAAATACACAGTAAGACATGACCCTATCCCGAAAGGGCTTCCAATCTGGTAGAGAGAACTTGATAAGCATACATAAATGGATAGATAAGAAAAGCAATGAATCTCCCTGCTCTTAGACAAGTTGTGCCGAAAGATAAAGCAAGTAGAGAACATTCTAAGCAGAGGACTCAGCATGTGGGAACCCATGAAGCTGGGAAACAGCATGGGAGAAATATAAGGAATTCGAGTTTTGTGGAAGGCAGAATGACAGAGAGCAGGTTAGAGAAGGTGGTTGGGGTGAAATTATAATGGACGTTGTTTGACCCACATGCAAGTCCTAGGTGACGAGTTCCAAAGGATCTCAAATAAGGGTAGAAGATAATCAATCAGGTTTGTAGTTTACAAAGACCATTCTTTCGCAGTGCGGTGGTTCAAGCCATCAGAGGCCAGGTGAGCAGTGAGAATGCTGCTAAACAATCCAGGAAAGAAGTGAGGGCCAATCTACAGGAGGGGATGGAGAAAGGGAATTGAGGTCATTCAGTAGGCAGAATTAAGAGGACTTAATGACCAGTAGAATGGGATGGCAGTGAAGGATGACCTCAGAGTTTCTGATTAGGTGTTCTGGCTGGGTGATAGCACCATTCCTGAGAAAGTAGAGAAGAGGTAAGTATAGGGGATTATTGCTATGTAAGTATAGGGGATTATTGAGAAAAAGCTTTCTGACTTGATTCCACAGCACACATCCACGCATCGGGCCTAGTGTGGACTGGAGGCACAGATAAGATCCCGATGAGTTGGTTTTGGACATTCTTCTTTTTTTTTTTGTTTTGTTTTCGTTTTGGACATTCTTGATCTGGGAAGCTTGTGTCCTGTCCGAGTGGAAATGTCCAGAAGTCATAGGGTGAGTGAGTTGGTAGCTCAGGAGAGAGTACTGGCTCGGCATTGTATATCTGGAAGTCACTGGGCATGAGTGACCCCCTAATCGGGGAGAGCAAGGCACAGAAAGAGACTGAGTTTGGGAACGGAGATCTGGAAACCAGCTCTGGATGGGAATGGGAAGAGGGAGCTTCTGAGAGTTTGATTAGCAGAATTACAGGCATAATCTTCACTCTATTCAATGAATTACTAGGTGAGATCATGAAAAACTCCTTCCCTTGTTGGCTGTGTGTGTGTGTGTGTGTGTGTGTGTGTGTGTGTGTGTGTGTAATTTATTTTATTTGAAAGGCTAAGTGGTAAAACTTAGAAACTATTGTCTTTGGGAAATCAAGATAAAGGTGACCTGAAATGTTAAGTCCATGAAAACATGTTTTTCAGGCAGGAGTGGCTGAGGTTAGGAACATGCTTATATTGTGCACATTCATTTCATAACATTGAGATAAGGCTCAAGATTGCTTCTGTGTTTCAGGTAATCCAGAGGTCCATGGGGCCAGCCAGTCTGAGTCTACTCACCTTCAAAGTCTATGCATCACAGAAAAAGGACGCAACTCACAAAGCTACTGTGAAGGTTAATGAGGTGACATGCTGTTCATGTTGTGATATGTATATATATATTTAATATATTTTAGCGATTTTTTACAGAGAGGAAGAGAGAGGGATAGAGAGTTAGAAACATCTATGAGAGAGAATCATCAATCAGCTGCCTCTTGCACATCCCCTATTGGGGATGTGCCCACAACCAAGGTACATGCCCTTGACCGGAATCGAACCTGGGACCCTTCAGTCCGCAGGCCGATGCTCTATCCACTGAGCCAAACCGATTTCGGCTGTTGTGATATATTTTGAGCATCTGATTTATACAAATTGTGTGTCCGGAAGATACAACATTTTAGAGGATATTTAATAGGAAAACATACATCTCCTTATAGCTTATTATTCTTTGTGAAGTTACTTTTTCAACAGATAGTGGCTTTTTCAACAGATAAATTTTAATTAATGGTCCTGAGTGTTGGGTATAATGTTTCCTAAATTTTTAGTGGGGAATCTGGTGTGTCCCAGTAGATTGTAAGCACAGTTTGCTTCTCAGTGATCTGCCCAATTCCAGACTGCTTATCAAGTCAAGAAAATATTTTTTGTTTTTCATCTAAAAAAAAAAAAAAGAAAAAGAAATTAAAGACCTGGTCTCATTCTGCTTCTTGGCCAGATTAGAAGCTCATAGATGCTTAATGAATACTAAAGAAATAAAACAAGAAATCTCTCCGTTTACATCCTTTTTTTGTCTGTACTTGCCACTGATTATTTTGAATATTTGGTTTCTGTTGACTGTGAATAAAGTGGCATAAACATCCACCTTCAGACAGGAGCAGGGTTACTTAAATGTGTTTACATAAAACTAAACAGCTTATCTCTTACCCTTTACTCCCTTCTTCTCAGGCTTTGGGGCAGTGGAATTATTAAGGTTGAGGTAGGCAGCCTGTAGTGACTGTAAAAAGTTCATTCTCTGGGTGGGGAACAAACTTGCTGTCATCCTGCTTTGATTAGCACCAGACTGATCATTTGAACTAAGTAACATGCTTTTCAGTTATGCTTGAACTTCTTTTCCTACCCCCTCTAGTCTGTCCTTAGAGCAAGCATGTCAAACTCGCAGCTGGCGAGCTGTATGCCCCGTTTAAATTAGTTTGACATGCTTGCTTTAGAGTAATACTATTCTTTTAAAAAATATATATTTTTAATTGATTTCAGAGAGAAGGTAGAGGAAGAGAGGGATAGAAACACCAATGATGAGAGAGAATCATTGACTGGCTGCCCCCTACACACCTCATCCTGGGGATTGAGCCTGCAACGGAGCATGTGCCCTGACCGGGAATCGAACTGTGACCTCCTGGTTCATAGGTCGACGCTCAACCACTGAGCCACGCTGGCTGGGCTATAGTTATATTATTCTTTTCCCAAACTAAATCTAAGGTGGAACACCAAATTTCAGTATATAAAACAGATAAAGGGGAGCTGCTTTGTCTGCTACCAGTAATGTGGGGAGGACATTAAAACACCTCATAGCCCTGCTCTCTTGGCCTTGGCATTATTGATTAAGGAAATAAGATGCAGAGATCCTGTGAAGCAGAGATCAAGTTTAGGGTGCAGTTTATGAATTCTTAAAAATACAATGCCTAAAAATTTGTTTTTGTTTGTTTGTTTTGTTTTGAGCTACAAATCTGATCATTGATTATGTTCTCTTTGCTACATAGACATTTTTACTTCTTTTTGTTCTGTTTTATAATTTATGCAGCTTTCACTCTACTCTGTTCCCGAAGTTCAGTCTAAGTATGTGGAGGAGCCAAGGACTGAACTTGAAGAGAGCATCTCAAATCTCCGACAGTATTGCGAGCCATATACAAGTTGGTGTCAGGTACAGCTCTTCTGAAAACGGAGTGAACACATTTCTATTTCGAGTCAACAGGGAGAAGTCTGTATAAGCTGCCTGTTCTCAGAAAAAGGGACCCAAGTTAAGAGTGCCCAACTTACAAATGTTCATCTGTGCCAGCTATGGGGTGGGGGTGGAGGGAGCAGAGAGCTTCCTGGTGGTGGCAATGGCCATAGTTGCTCGGAGAATTTCCTTCCCACTGGGCAGGAGTAGAGGGCTGCAAAGTATCTTGGTCACAGCTATGAAAACACTATTGTCTGCAGGGAGAGGATATGGAGTTAGAACTCTAGAGGAAGGAAAAGAATACAATGTAACCATTTCATGTTGGGAATTGGGAAGTCCCCCCTAGAGATTCTACAAATCAGCACCACTTTAAACAGTAACGGTTACAGAACATGTTGAATGCTATAATAAGAGGGTAAATAACTAAACAAGGGTAGAATCACGTATTTGAGTAATGAACTATTTTGCCCCAACAATCCAAGAACAACTTGTGCAAATTGGCTTCTACCACTGCTCAGGTTTTAGATCAGGCATTTGTCATTATGTTCACAAAGGCATTTCTGTGATTTTTAACATCTAAAATGGAAGTTTACAGTCTCCAGAATGCTTTTGTGGTCTTTGATGCATATATTTGCTATACTTGAACTTGATTTTGAAAATTGATGGGAAATTGGTAAGAAGCATGTAGATATGTGTCACCCGGTCTAGATTTACTTTGCTTGAGACTTAGAAACTCAATTTTCATACAGATCTTATTAAAAAAATTTAAATTTCCACCGTCTATGTCAGCACTGAACCAATTTAGAAAGAAAATAGTAAGCACAGACTCATCAACAATATAATTAGGCCATTATACCTAAGTATCATAACCATATTATTGTTATGAAATACCTAAAGACTATATATGAGTTGTAAAACACTTAGACTTTATTCTCTTGTTCTAGAAGATTTTTAAACCATCTGTTAGTGGTTAAGATAAGGTCAGCAAAGTTGTGCAAATATTATTGTATTATGTAGGCATGACTACCATTAATTCTCTCTCTCTCTTTTTTTTTTTTTTGGTTATGAAAGTACTTTGTCTCTTGCTTTCAATCTAAGGTTGCTTTTTGTTTTTTACTTTTTCATCTGTATATGATACTCAGTGCAGGAAAATAGCTCTGTAGATGATAAAATAGTTATCAACATGTTTATTTGCACTACTTCTAAATAATTTTTGTGATTATAATCATCTTATTTTCCTATAGAATAAAGTCTTTATGAATAGAAATATCTTAAATTATTGGCTCCTTTTTGTCAGGCCAATAATTTCTAGCCCATTTCTTTAAGAACTAATTTAATTTTTCTCCATAGTGAAAAGATTATGCCAGCAAAAAATGTGGGCAGTCACTCTAGACATTGAACTGTAGCTTTTTTTTAATGGGAAGCAAAAATGAATAAGTTTTAATGAAGTGATAATCAGTCTTTAAGGGTTTTTTATGTCCCCCTTCAAATTTAGCATTTATTATTTAAGTCCCTTTAACAGAACTAGAATAACTTGTTTTGATTTGAACCAAATGATATAAAACAAATTCTTTTCCAAGTGGCAACTGGTTCTGATACCTTCTGATACCCACACATCTCTTTTTTCTATCATCACTGGTAGACTTCTTGAAAGTGGGTACCTTCTAGGCAGTCCTTTGTTTTCTTTAGGATCATTTGATGTTCACCCCCAAAGCCTTTTTACTGTCATTGTTAAGGAATATTTACACTTCATTTACTTTGCGACTAGGGTAAGTATCTTTTCAAACTTAGATATAGATTCCTTTGTCCCAACAAAGCTAGTCATTCCTGTTTCAAATGGGCAGTTTTTTAGACATAGGCTTTAAAATCACAGCAAGTCAGGTATTAGACTTAATGTGAAAGGACAGATTTAATCTCACATGGAAAGGATTAATTATTGAGGGTATTGATTTTTGTCCATTCTCTTCAGTTTTAATAGAGAATGAAAAGGCTGGGCTGTTGAAACCACTCTACTTGAAATCTTTGTTTCCTGTGGCAGTCATAAGCCATTCTGCTAAGCAATTTGTGGTGAAGGGGAAATTACAAAAGAAAATAACACAAAAAACCCCCACTATATCTTTGTTTGAAAAGTGCTGATAACATGATAATTTATTCAGTAAAGGCAAATATATTTATTATTACTTTATTAATAAATTCTACTCATTCATTTTCTTTTCACCTTTTTAGGAAAAGTATTCCCAAACTGAGCCCAAGATGAAAAGTTTGGTTCAATGGGGGTCAGGTAAGTTTATTTTTAATAAGATATAATCAGTTTCTTCATTAAAATTGGACCCTTTAACAAGGGTTCCATGGACGGCTCCAGGAAATGTGTGAGTTACTTAAAGTTGTATGCAGAATTTTAGAGCTATGTAGGTTTTTCTGGAAAGATTATTTACTATTGTCATCAGATTTCAGAGGATTCGTGTACCCAAACACTCACGTAAGTCTCTTCAAGATTATTAGGGTTGTTGGGCTAGCAAATGCAGATATATTGGATTTTTTTTTCTTTAAATCTATTCCAAGTGCAATGTCCTTAACTCATATTAATCCATACTGACTCATCAATAGGTTTTCAGAATCAGGAGAGCTCTTTTGCATAGCTATTAATACATGTTATAGAAGTTTAAATGCAGGAAAGAAATGAGTTGATGTGCCTCAGAAAGCCCTTATTGCATAATTAGTAGTGTTTTTACATTTTTTATTGGTTCTAATTTTTTTCAAATTATAAAAGAAAGTTTTTTGAAAAAGTCACAGAGTTAGAAAAGGTGAGCCAGCTGGGCTGAGTGGGCTCAGGAAACGAGTTACGAGGCAAAAGAAGAACCCTCGAAGGGTCCTTGGAGCTGAGGAGAAAGGCAAAGGTAATACACCTGGGGAAAGAGAGGGGGAAAGGTTCAGAGAGAGACAGACAGAGAGAAAGAGAGAGAAAGAGAACATCGAAGTGAGAGAGAAAGATCAATCAGTTGCCTCCCATATGCACCCAAACTGGGGATTGAGCCTACAACCTGGGTATGTTCCTTGACCAGGAATCGAACCCACCACCTTTCAGGGTATGGGATGACGCTTCAACCAACTGTGCCACACTGGCCAGGACTATTGCCTTTAGTTTTATAGCCTAAGAAAACTAAAGAACTCCTGATCTTTTATCTGGACATGTGTCATTGTTACCTGTTATTTCCCATTGATTCAGAACAGTAGTCATTTGCAACATGTAGTTTTTTCTTCTCTTGAACTCATAGTTAAGAAAAATTCCAATATGAGTTGTGTTGTTGTCTGCCCAGGTAATTAGTCCATTCCCCAGCACTCACAGCCAAGTCATGTTACCAGAAGTTACGCTTCAGCTTCAGTGCAGTCCTATAGCGTATCTTTTTTCCCATTTCTTTGTGATTTTACCCGCTTTGGCTCAGCTCACCAAAGCCATGTGGTTGTCCTATCATCTGCTCTGTGTAGAACTGAAAACACCATGCTGATAGGCAAAAATAAAGGGAAATAGAAAATTGTCTCAGATGACCCATGCAAAAAGATGGAAACTTAAAACTAGGTTAAAAGCCAAGTAAGCAAAAGGCCAGACAGGAACTAGTACCAACAACACAAGCCCTATAGTAATATTTAAAATGACCACATTTCCCCAAGAACCCAGGAAATGGAAAACTGGGATGTGTCTGCGATGTGTCTGCTATTATCCGGGGGAGAGAATTACTCACTACTCCAATTCGTCCAGTTTCGCATACGTCACCATAATGTCTAGCATTGAAGATCAAGGCTGATTCAGACAGTGGTCCAGCAACTGCCGTGTGTAACATTAGCGCGAACACAGAGGTGGTCACAGGCCACTGTAGAAGGTACGGAGGAAGGAGACTAGCTCGAAGCAGTCAGGGAAGGATCCCTGGGACTAATCTTGAAGAAACAGAGGTAGCCACACCAAAACATGGGGGCAGGACTGGGCAGCATTCCACACAGTGGGCACGGCACCATCAAGGCTTGGATGTATGACTCAGTGTTGCGTGTGCCGGGAACTGGAAGCAGATAGGGAGTTCTGAAGATGAGGTCGAGAAAGAGATGTGAAGGCTTTTTAAATCATGACCCAGCTAACAGCCATTTGTTAATTCATGCAGTATTCATCAATACCTGGCAGCGTTTTTATTTTTTTATTTTTATTTAATTTTTTAAATATATTTTATTGTTTTTTTACAGAGAGGAAGAGAGAGGGATAGAGAGTTAGAAACATCGATGAGAGAGAATCATCGATCAGCTGCCTCTTGCACAACCCCCACTGGGGATGTGCCCGCAACCAAGGTACATGCCCTTGACCGGAATTGAACCCGGGACCTTTCAGTCTGCAGGCTGACACTCTATCCATTGAGCCAAACTGGTTTCGGCCCTGGCAGCGTTTTTAATAAATTATCTGTCATATGAACATTCACTGTTACCACTGAGGAAAGCTACATAGAAATCTGAGCAATGCACCATTGAGGATTGTATGTCCTGCTTGTGGAGACATAAAATACAGCCCTGATTAATTAAACACAAGGTGCTGTAAAAGTAGTATCAAATTATGGTACAGAGAATAATTATGATGGGTCTTTAGAGGAAGAAGAGCGGTGTAGACTGATGAGCATAGGAAAGGCTTTTCTGTGTAATTAGGACTTGAGCTGGCTCAGTGGAGAGGAGAGGAGATGTGTCATCATGCAAGTATAAGGCATGTTCAGACATGGCAGATGGGCCTACGTGTTGCCTTTATTTATTTTTATCACCATCAACAGTGACTCTGCCACATATACTTGTGCTACAAGTTTCCTTCATTATCCAAATTTATTCTCTTCTGGAGTTTGAATAATAAGTTCAGATAGCAAAGGATGCTTTTCCCCCTCAGCCTAATGTATTTGCTTCCTCAGTTTCAGAGAGCAGGCAGCAAAGCTTCAGAGAGAGATAAATTTATCCAAATCTGTAGGCTTACCCCATTTTCTTGTGCTTTGCTTTATTGCATTTTTTTTTTTTTTTTTTTACAAATTGAAGATTTGTGGCAACCCTGCTGAGAGCAGGTCTATCGGTGCCATTTTTCCAACAGGCTTAGATGATGGTTAACATTTTATGAAGCAATAAAGTATGTTGTAATTAAGGCATGCACATTTTTCTTTTAAACCTAATGCTACTGCACTACAGTATAAGCATAACTTTTGTAGGCACTGGGAAACCAAAGAACTCATGTGATTTGCTTTACTGTGGTGGTTTGAAATCAAACTTTTTTTTTTTTTTTTAAAGAGTTCTTAGAGCCCTAACTGGTTTGGCTCAGTGGATAGAGCATAGGCCTGCGGACTGAAAGGTCCCAGGTTCGATTCCGGTCAAGGTCATGTACCTTGGTTGCAGGCACATTCCCCAGTAGAGGGTGTGCAGGAGGCAGCTGATTAATGTTTCTCTCTCATCAATGTTTCTAGCTCTCTATCCCTATCCTTTCCTCTCTGTAAAAAATTCAATAAAATATATATTTAAAAAAAAAAGTTTTTAGATTTGAGATGAACAAATGGTTTGATGAAAATCTTTAGTTATTTTTTTAAAAAAATATTTTTATTGATTTCAGAGAGGAAGGGAGAGGGAGAGATAGAAACATTAATGAGAATTGTTGATCAGCTGGCTCCTGCATGCTCCTTAGTGGGGATCCAGCCTGAAACCCCTACATGTGCCCTGACCTGGAATCAAACCGTGATTTCCTGGGTCACAGGTCAGTGCTCAACCACTGAGCCACAACCGGCCGGGATGAAACCAAACTTATCGTATCTCTAAGGTATTCCTGTGTTCTGTGTTTGGATAACAAGAGTTCAGATAGCAAGGATCTCTATTTGTATTTCTCCCCGTGTGAATAGTTGATTCTGGTCTGTAGCCTTTAGAAATATGACATTACTTTAGTAATCTGACATTTCTTTACTGTCAGTAGGTTGTCAAACCAAAAGTGTTTGGAAATTGGATACTTGGTACGTGAATAGTAAGTCATAAGGCATGTTCAGGCATGGCAGATAGGCCTACATGTTGCCTTTATTTCATGTTTATCATATAAAAAGAATGTGTTGAAAAGAAGCATATTAGCAGAAAGCCAAGAATACATTATTTAAAAAGCATCTGATAACTATTAATATATATACTACTGATAGTTAAGATTTTTTTGGTTTGTTTTTTAATGAGCAATTTATGGAACTGTTTCCTGGTCTGATTCTATTGTAGACAGCTATGAATTTCTCCAAAATGCTCCTCCTGGATTTTTTCCAAGACTTGGTGTTATTGGTTTTGCTGGCATTGTTGGACTCCTTTTGGCTAGAGGTAGGTACAATTTTGTGAAATTAAAAAAAAAAATAGTTCATAAGGGAGAGAGAAGATATATATTTGGTTCTTTCTTTTCATTTACCAGTTTTTAGAATGAGTTGGATCCTGAATATGGCCTTCTGAATATATAATTTATATGGTTGTTTTCTTCAATATATTTGATTTTAAGCATATATAGAAATTGTAAAAACAAAATAAAAAAACAAAACAAAAAAAAAAACCCCCAAAAAATTATATATTCTTGGTTGAAAAAAATTAGTTATCCTTTATAGGCACATTTACTTGATCAAGTTACTGTTGCTCTTTGGTACAGAAAGAGTGAACTTTTGTTAACCAAAATCTGTCATACCTGAGACACTGTTTTTAAATGTTTCACTTTTTTTTTTCTAGTATATAATAATTTTTTAATGAGAAAAGATAATATCAATAAATCACATATAATTTAATCAGTTATATAGTGTTCTACATATTTATTTTAAATTGGCTAATTTTCTTAAGGTAATCTTAGTGCATTAAAAATGAAAATAAAATGCATATTCATTTTATCACATTACTGGATCAACGAGAATAATTTTGTTATGCGACTAGCCATTAACAAAATTATACACAGACATGTCAACTAATGGTCATTAGTTCCAATTCAATACCAGCAGGAATTTCCCAATTGGGGTGTGGTGAAGAAGGCAACTTTATTTGGTGCAAACAGCATATTGTGATACAGCATAGCTGTGGAGCAGCTCAATAGTATTACTGCTCAGTTATGGAGCAGTGTAGCTTTGGAACAGACTGCTGCAAGGCAGTCCTGGGGTAAGGTGGCTCTCTAGCTACAAAATGTTTCACTCTTAAGAATAGGCTATTAACCACAGTGAATAGAAAAGTGATTTCATAGAAAATTTTAAAATTTTTTGATTCACTGTAGCTTTAGTCCTCGAGGATATAAAAATTTTTTAAACACTTAAAAGGAAACGCTAATAAATGCCAACATAAAAATATTACTACACTACACTGATGGACTATAAAACATTTATAGGAAACCAAGGATGAAAACATCCTTCACTGTAATGAAATGAATTTGTCACGAACTACTTGATGATTCACTGATTGTGAAATCCAGATTTTACAAAAGTTCCTAGAATAGAAAGTTTATGAACTCTGTAATCAGATCCCCATAAAAGATAACTATAGACACTAGTTCGGTATCCATTCCTCCACTTTTAAAAGTCTTCGCTGTGCATGCCTTAATGGTAACGTTAGAATCTGGAGAAACGCTGCACTGGTGCCACTCCCCAACCTGTGGAATGAACTCTGGTTGGAGTTTCTGCGCCCTCTTCCCATCTACTGTATATGAGAATTAAACTGAGAGTCCTGGCTCAGTTGGTTGAGTAACATCCCATGCACTGAAAGGTCAAGGGTTTGATTCCCAGTCAGGGACATACCTGGATTTGGGGTTCAATTCCCAGTCTGGGTGTGTATGGGAGGCAACTGATCGATGTTTTTCACATCATCGTCTCTCCCTCCCCGCTTCCTTTCTCTAAAATCAATAAAAAGCATTTCCTTGGGTGAGGATTTAAAAATGTGCGCGCACACACACACACACACACACACACACACACATAACCAATAAACAGCATGTATATGTTATCCTGTGTGTTAATAATATACATTGCACTAGCATCTATATGCATCCCATGTAAAAATACGTGTCTCTCAGTGGAGACTTTCTCATGTCAAGTCAGTTTCAAGTGTATTTTCCTGTTTCACCTTCTTCACGTTTTCTTAACCTTATTCTCAGGTTCTTCCCACCTCTTCATCCTGCTCAGTTCCCCCTCTCCCCAGACTGCACATCCTCTCAGTCTGGACTGACATTCAGCACAGTTGTTGTCTTGGGGTACAGCTCCACACACTCTTGGGTGTGACCCCCTTTTCCGGTTCCATGTCACCATCTCCTTGGTTTGCTCTGCCATGCTGTTGAACTACATGCTTAAGTCACTTTCAAAAAGCCTGTGTTGGAGGTAAAATTTCCAAGTCCTTGCAGGTCTGAATACTACTTTCTGCCCTCATACCAAGTGATCGTGTGGTTGGGCATACAGTTGGTTTTCCATCAAAACTTTGAAGGCCACGTCTTCTAGCTCAGGAGTTGCAGATGTGAGAGTCAGAAGCCAGGCTGGAAGGTTGTTCTTTTTGAAGTGATTCCTTTTTTTCCCCCCTGGAAGCTTTGAGGAGCTCTGCAGTGCTCTGAATTCCCATGGTGCTGTGGCAACATATAGTTGTTTCACTCCTGGTTGGGCATTTTTTTTTTTTGATTGAAAGAAGTTACTTTATTTTCAGTAACACTAGTAAAATTCAACAATCCTTCATTATAGACAGCAACCTACAAATGGTATACACAGTACTACTATCATTTAAAAAAATCACAAACTTGAACAATCAGATTACTTTGCCAAGTATCTTAAAATTACTTCAAAGTTAGACATCAGACCCACCACTAGCCTCCTGTTTAAGGCACATTTACTATATCAAATATGTTTTGCTATTTCCAATGTAATGTTTAATTCTACGTATTTATGAAATCAACATACTAAGGGGGTCAACTAGCATCATCAAACTATAATACCAACATGGCATAAAAGTTTAAGTCCCAAACAATTTGATGGTTGGGCATTTTTGGTGGCTTACAGCATTCAGCTGCAGGAAGCATCTGTCGATCTGGTATTTCTTTGAAAATTTACTCTTTATCTTTTTCCTTCCTGGACCCATATGCATTAGCGATTGAGCTGTTTAAACTGGCCCTATATGTCTCTTAGATATTCTTGATTATTTTATTTTATCCCTTTTGATTTTTTTTAGTTGGTCATTTCTAAGACCTCTTTCTTGTTCTCTGAATGTTCCTTTTTCTTAGAACTTTTTTTTTTTTTTAAAGTAGTAGCTTCTTGAGTTTACTTGATGATACTTAATTACAGGTTTAGTTTTGTTTTTAATTTCTTGTTTCCTATAAGGCCATTTTTTCCTTCTTGCTTATCTCAGTTTTCTCTCTCTTTTTAAAAATATATATTTTATTGATTTTTTACAGAGAGGAAGGGAGAGGGATAGAGAGCTAGAAACATCGATGAGAGAGAAACATCAACCAGTTGCCCCCCTGCACATCCCCTGCCCACAACCAGTGTATATGCCCCCGACCGGAATCGAACCCGGGACCCTTCAGTCCACAGGCTCTATCCACTGAGCCAAACCAGTTTTGGCTCAGTTTTCTCTTTTATGTTGCAGGTCTTCCTCAAATGACCAGTGATCCTTGGTTGTACAGTCATGTTTAAGAGCAAAGCGATTGAGCCGAAACTGGTTTGGCTCAGTGGATAGAGCATCGGCCTGTGGACTGAAGAATCCCGGGTTAGATTCCGGTCAGGGGCATGTGCATTGGTTGCAGGCACATCCCCAGTAGGGGGTGTGCAAGAGGCAGCTGATCGATGATTCTCTCTCATCGATGTTTCTAGCTCTCTATCCCTCTCTCTTCCTCTCTGTAAGAAATCAATAAAAATAAAAAAATAAAAATAAAAAAGAGCAAAGCAATTGAAATGCCAATAGGAACTTTTTGGGTATAGATGGGGCTTGCTAGCAGACAGGTTTTACCTCAGGATGAGTTGAATGGAAACTGACTTAATATGAGAGGTTGCCTACCCTTAGTGCCTAAGTGAGGAAGGCCTGTCTACTTTCAGGCACTTACACATATGTGCACATACACCACATATCTTGGTTCTCAACAGACATCTATGGCATTTCTTTAGAGACAACCCATCCACTTTTTAAACTTTTAAAAAATGTATATTTTTATTATTGATTTCAGAGAGGAAAGGAGAGAGAGATAGAAACATCAGTGATGAGAGAGAATCATTGATTAGCTGCCTCTTGCACACCCCACACTGGGGAGCCCACAACCCAGGCTTGTGCTCTGACCGGAGTCAAACTGTGACGTCTTGGTTCATAGATCGATGCTCAACACCTAAACCACGCTGACTGGCCCACCCCATCCACTTTTTAAATTTTTGCCTGGAGAGATGCCTGGCCACAGGCAATTTTGCGCTGGGCTGGCCTGAGGGAAGGAGAAGGTTATCTGGTCCTTGCACAGGACATGGTTTATACCCCTGTCTTATTTTGTTTTGTTTTGTTCTGTTTTGTTTTGTTTTGTTTTGTTTTGTTTTGTTTTGTTTTGTTGATCCTCACCGGAGGATATTTTTCTGTTGATGTTTTAGAGAGTGGAAGGGAGGGGAGAGGCAGAAACATTTATGGGAGAGAGACACATTGATTGGCTGCTTCCCACACCTGCCTAGACTAGGGCCCTGAATCTGTTGGAGCTGGCAATCAAGGTACATGTCGTTGACTGGAATTTAACCAGGGATCCTTCATTCCCCAGGCTGATCTCTATCTATTGAGCCAAACAGCCCAGCGCTATACTCTTGTCTTGATCTCTGGTTGCCCTTTCCACCCTCCACAATACCTGTCATATCCGGGCCACTGACACTTGTCCTGCTCCCTCCTGTGCTACAGCCCCTCCCTCCTCAGGACTTCAGGGCTGTGTGTCTTCTTGCTTCCATCCACTCTCCATTTTCTTTCTTTTTTCAAAATATATATTTATTGATTGCAGAGAGGAAGGGAGAGGGAGAGAGAGATAGAAACATCAGTGATTAGAGAGAATCATTGATAGGCTGCCTCCTCCACGCCCCACACTGGGGATCTAGTCAGCAACCCAGGCATGTGCCCTGACCAGGAATCCAACCGTGACCTCCTGGTTCATAGGTCGATGCTCAACCACTGAGCCACGCTGGCTGGGCACACTCTCCATTTTCTGAAAAATGATTGATACTTCTTATCTGTCAGTACCCCCTCCACACATTTACTCTTTATTGTGGGTTTATTATCTGTATTTTCTTCTTGTGCTGTTATTACCACAGAGTTTTAGAAAGGAGAGGAGAGGAATGCTTGTGTTCAATATGTAAGTAGGAATCCAGTTTACTCAAAAGGACACACACCTTAGAAACCAAAACACTATGTGGCTTTTCTTTGCAAAACTATCTTTTTTTCTGCTTCCTTGCAATTGGTGGTTCTCTTAAACATTGCGCTGACAAAAGAAGCCAGTCCAAGGACCACATATTATATAACTCACTTTTTTTTAATCAATCTTTATTGTTCATATTATTACAAAGGTTCCTCATTTCTTCCCCCCTCCACCAGGTTCCCACCCCACCCTCCGCCCCCTCCCCTCCCCCATTGTCCTCATCCATAGGTGCACAGTTTATGTTCAGTCTCTTCCTCCCTCCCTTTCCCCAATAGTAAATCCCTTTTCAGATAGTAAATCAGTTACTTAGCATTTTCTCATATCAATAATACCTCCACATGCCCAATGATACACTTCACACAAAAGACATTTCCCAATAGGTCCGCCAGCCTTATCCAGGCCCCACCCAAGGCACTTACAGATCAACACCTCAGCCCTATACTAACTCAACACATCCAGATCTAAGCCTTCATCACTTGATTCAGCAGACCCTCAAGTTCCCACGAAAGTTTCCAGCCATGTCTGAGAAGCAGCCGTGGGGCAGGGGCAGGCGAGGAGCGAGCTGTTCCGGGCCTGGCTGCTCAGGGCCTGGCCTCTGTTGCTCTGGTTCGTTCCACAACAAGCTGTTCCGGATCTGGTCACTGCCGCTCCTGACCTAGTTGCTCTGGACTTGGCTGTTGCTGCTCCGGGCCTGGCCGCTCCCAGCCTGGCAGCCGCTGCTCCAGGCCTGGCCACACCTGACCTAGCTGCTCCCCCGGGCCTGGCCGCTCCAGCCTGGCAGCCGCTGCTCCGGGCCTGGCCGCACCCGACCCGGCTTATATAACTCACTTATATGAAATATCCAAGTAGGCCAGTCCTTAGAGAGAGAGAGTAGATTAGTGGTTCCCTAAGGCTTTGAGTGGTGGGGGAATTGGGGGCAACTGCTAGTGGATGTGGGTTTTTTTGGGGTGATGAAAAGATTCGAAAGTTGATTGTGGTAGTTGTTGCACACTTCTCTGAATAACTAAAAGCCATTTAATTGTACACTTTAAAACACTTTGTGCAGGCAAGTTGTGTGAATTCTATCGCTCTGAAGCTGTGAAAATGTGGCGGTCCTTTTTGTATATGTTTGATATTAGTAGGCATATTCTCTGTCAATCTTAGGACCGAAGACATTTTATTCAGTGTTAGATATACAGGCAATTTGTGATGGTAAAAGCGGAATCATCTGACAGTGTACATAACCTTTTATTTGCTAGGTTCAAAACTAAAGAAGCTGGTATATCCACCTATTTCCATGGGGTTAGCTGCCTCGCTGTATTACCCACAACAAGCCATCGTATTTGTCCAGGTAAGTTAGACCCAGGAAGTTCAGCTGCCCCTTATTCTCGCTTATGTATGAATGGGTTTACTGCTTGCTTTCATCTTATTGCTTTTATAACGCCGGACTACAGTTTATTTGCACATATAAATGAATAGAGCAAATTTAAATGTTCTCCACTATGTACTTCAGCTCTGGCTCTTCTTCCAATCAACCCATTAGAAAATACACACTAATTTGAATATTAAAAAAAACCTTAAGATCCTTTTTTAAAATATTTTATTGATTTTTTTTTTTTATAGAGAGGAAGAGAGTTTCGGCAGATCCTTTTTTAATTTTTTTCCCTATTGACATGGAAGTCTAGAGACTCAAATTTCAAAGTTGACAGTTATGGGTCATTCTCAGTTCAGGCGGCTCAGGTCGCAGCACCCTCCTTGGAATTGCTGGCCCGGGGGCTTGTACTCCCTCCGCGCCTTCTTCCTGGTCCTGGAGCTGGCCTCGCTTCCTTTGCTGGGTACTTCATGGAGTGCAGTCCCATCTGCTGGGAGCACTACTCTCAGGGCTCTCAGTTGGCTACTCCTTTTTTTAAAAAATATATTTTTATTGATTTTTTACAGAGAGGAAGGGAGAGAGATAGAGAGTTAGAAACATTGATGAGAGAGAGTCATCGATTAGCTGCCTCCTGCACACCCCCTGCTGGGGATGTGCCCCCAACCAAGGTACATGCCCTTGACCGGAATCGAACCTGGAACCTTTCAGTCCGCAGTCTGACGCTCTATCCACTGAGCCAAACCGGTTTCGGCTTAACTGGGTTTTTAAAATAGTAGCCCACTGTGCCGATTGCTGCTAACACTCAGGGTACTGTTAAGGTCCTGGAGTTGGTATGAAGAGTTTGCACAAGTTAAATCGTACTTGATTCTGCTGAAGCACACCTGCAGCTGACAGTGAGAAAAGACAGAAGCTGTCATGTCATGTCTCTCCCCAGAGTCACCATAGGTTTTGGATTTGTTTTGAGTATTTTTTCTTTTACTCTTTTCCTCCTTGATGACCTTTGCTGACCTGGGGACACCCAGGGAACGCTCCCCCATCAGTGTAACTCCATAGACTTTGCTGCAGTTGTTGGTGTGGTTATCAAATTTTTGTGATAAACACATTCTTTTTTTTTTTTTTTCAAACACATTTTTAAAATTACTCTTCTTAAAAAAGTATTTTTTCCTGATTTTACAGAGAAAAAAGGGAGAGGGAAAGAGAGAGAAACGTTGATCAGTTGCCTCCTGCACGCACCCCAACTGGGGATCGAACCTGCAACCTGGGCAAGTGGCCTGATTGAACCGGTGACCCTTTGGTGATGATGCTCAACCAACTGAGCCACACCGGCCAGGGCAAGAGAAGCCCATTCTTTTGGATACAAATAAATAACAAAGTGTTTTTAAAGTTAGAGAAAGAAATGCAAATTCTCAGGCTCCAACCCAGACCGACTGACTCAGACACTGAGGGTTAGGGCTAGCAATCTGTGTTTCACTAAGCCCCGAGGGGATTTTAATCTTTATGCAGTTTGAGAACCACTCACATAGACTAGAGGCCTTTAGGGCAGTGATGTCTGAACTTAGTGGGACTCGAGACCTGGTGTTCCTTGGAAAATTGGCAGGAGCAAAGCAGGCTGTAGGTTTTGAGTTCCTGGACAGCAGCTGATGGAGACAGGGATCCGTTGCCAGAACTTCCATATCACACGGAGACTCTGGCCCAGGAGGAGGAGCAGTGCTGCCACCAGAAACGGGCGCTGGGGCCTCTGAGCCAGGCCGACGTGACCCTGAGCTCCCTGGAGTCCTCATGACAGAATTGAGTGTACATTCCTGGATTGTGCTGCAGTTGTAGATGGGCCCCTAGTGGTTCCAGCTGTGGGAAATTAATGGCTTTGGTGGAAAATTCCAGTAAGATCTCTCCAGCATGACCAAGACATTGTTTATTGAAGCCCCGAAGGCAGACAGTTTATGTTCCTCTGTCTTTCAGCCCCAGCTCAGGATCAGAGTATCACTCTGTCTGCTCTAGGTCATAAAAATAATCTAACACCATGTCAGGCTGCTATGGTTTAAACAGTAAATGGATAGGGTGGGCCTGGCTGCTGATTGACAGGCACAGGTGGCTGCTCCCTGAATAAAAGACTTTTTAAAAAAGGAAGAGAGAGGGATAGAAAGTCAGAAACATCGATGAGAGAGAATTATCGATCAGCTGCCTTTTGCACACCCCTACTGGGGATGTGCCCGCAACCAAGGTACATGCCCCTGACCGGAATCGAACCCGGGACCCTTCAGTCCGCAGACCGACACTCTCTCCACTGAGCCAAACCGGTTTCGGCTGAATAAAAGACTTTTTTAAAAATCCTATATGCTGCAGCATATGTTGAAAATATATGTTTTATGTTCACAACCAAGATAGTAGGATGCAAATCTGAGTTGTATTCTAATTTATTTTTAAAGTCAGTGGAAAGGAGTTTTGTCTTTTATTTTGTACCTAGGGTAAGCCAGAACAAAACAATTAACTTTATTTTCCCTAGGTATAAAACATTAGTGATCCTTTTAGGATGTTGAAAAAGTTCCAGAAATGGATAATGATGATGGTTGCAAACATTAGGAATGTGTTTACTGTAATGCCACCAAATTGTACACCTAAAATGGTTAAAATGGTAAATTTCATGTTATGCTTATTTTGCCAGGTAAAAGAAAACAAATATCAGTGATTGAGAAAGATTTTCTGATATTGTTTTAGTGTCATTTGGTTCCTATTTCACTCTTTACATTTTTGTGTGTTTTTTACAAATAGTCTGACTTTGGACAGGCCTCCTAATCTCAAACATTCTGTTTTCTGTTCAGTAGCGTTTGGATAAAAGCACCATAGAAAACCCTTAAAGTGATGGTGAATGTTATTCTCCTCTCAGAAATTTATAACACCGAAAAGTGTCATATATGTGTTAAATGTTTGACAGGTCTCCCTATGGGTCTGATAATCATAGTATATCATATTTTAAAAATGGTTGCAGCAACTGGAAGAATGTAACTTGTAATCAGCATGTTACAACTACCACTTGATTTACTAGCATTGTATATAGAATAGATAATTCATGTGAATGTGCTTTGTAAACTAAAATGCTATATGTGGATAAATTATTATAAAAATTAGGAAGAGAATAGTAACTTATCTGAAAAATTTTAAAATATATTTTATTGATTTTTTTACAGAGAGGAAGGGAGAGGGATAGTTAGAAACATCGATGAGAGAGAAACATCAATCAGCTGCCTCTTGCACACCCCCCACTGGGGAAGTGCCTGCAACCAATGTACATGCCCTTGACTAGAATCAAACCTGGGACCATCCACTGAGCCAAACCAGTCAGGGCTGAATTTTTGAATTACTGTCATGTGGAAGAGTAATCAACATTTTTTGTCACAAACAGGACCAATGAATGCAAACTACTGGAAGCTTTTTATTCATTTTTTTTTTTTTTTTTTTAAAGAAAGCTCAATAATTAAAAAAAAATTTTTTTCAACCATTAAATTTAGCTAGCCAAAGATGGACAAGTGCCTTTTAGGTAGTGAACTCCCTGATCCCCAGATATTCACTGACTCTGGAGCCTACGTCTTAGGATGTTGTAGAAAGGATTTTGGATCGGGAGGTAAAATCCCTGTAGAAACTTGAAGACTTTCTATTTTGAGGGACCCACGATATTCATCATGGCAGTGTGACTTGATTGGCTGTTATGTGCTCTGTGACTGATTTTCAGGAATTTCCCATGTCAGCAGTAATCTACAGTTTTTTCCCTTTGAAATTATGAAAGTCTGGAATATACACCTAATTGATGTCAGATTATTTTAAATAACTAAATACAGCAAAGTATTTTTCTTCTTATTCTATCCCTCTTACTATTTTTTATTTGCTCATGTTGCACAGTTTTAATGTGTATGTCTCCAGACTTCTGTAGTGATCATATGCTTAAATATTGTTCTGTTGGAAACAGGACAATTCTGTTCCTTACCAGTCATGTACTGACTAACGGTGGATCTTTTCTGTTTTGTTTCCAGGTCAGTGGGGAGAAATTATACGACTGGAGTTTACGAGGATACATAGTTGTAGAAGATTTGTGGAAGGAGAACTTTCAAAAGGTAAAAAAGACCTTTTTTCATTATCTTCCTTTTGGTTTAAACATGTGGTTTCTCTTGAGCGGGGCTGGGGAACATCCGGCCCGTGGGCTGTATGAGGCCCGCGAAATAATTTGGTCTGGCCCTGCCAAGGCATTAAGGGCTGAGTAACTTAAAAGTTTGATTATATAACAGGCTGATTTTTGAGTTGATAATTTTATATGTCCATGAATGATGTTATAAATATCCAAATGGCCCTTGGCAGAAAAATGGTTCCCCACTTCTGCTCTAGGATTTTGTAAATTTCTTGATAACCCTGTTGTTCAATCTTGCCTTTTCTGTTTATTTATTTGACCTCTTGCTCAGATTCTCTGGTGACCATTAGTGGGGAAGCAATAAAACTTTTGTGCTTTTCCTTATCAGCAGGTCTGAATAGATGGTAACCATAAATGCATTCCACATCAGTCTTATATAACGTGACCAGACGTCCCGCTTTTTTAAAATGGCGTGGGACGCGGGACAAATTGTTAAAAATCGGGACTGTCCCGCCAAAAGCGGGACGTCTGGCCGCCTTAGTCTTATACCATAATTTCCATTGTATTGTATTAATAATTTGCTGAAATAATAGCATAGTATCTGAAAGTTTTATCAAAACTGCATAAGAAGGGAACATACGTGCTCCTAGGCCTAAGACATATAACCAGGACTCCTCTTGCTGGTTCACCTGCCATAAACTCATGTTCTTTCCTCTAGCAATACTGTATCTCAGCTACAGGCCAGGTTATTCGTCTGGCTGATGGACACGCGGCAAAGGTTGCATAACTGTAAGGAGGTGTCATCATTTATCTTTTCTTTCAGCCACATAGCTAATTGGATGTTGCCCATGTTTACTGGAATTTTCTCTCTTTCCCTGATAAGAATGAGCACAGAACAAGGCATCTTGTCTCCTTCAGGCACTTAGAGGCACAGCTTGCTAAGGAAGAGTTAGAATTCTTTTTTTTATTTCCATTTAGAATTCTATTAACATAATTTCGGCACTGTATATTGAAGGAAGTTTATTTTGACTACTATCCTCTCAAATCACAATAAAAATATAAATAACTATCTCAAAATTTAAAACCAGAATTTGGAAACTGTAACTGCGGTTTCCAAACCAGAATTTGGAAGTAATGTTACAGAATAAATTTATAAGCCCTCCTCATTGTATACATAAATACTCTTTCAGTGAAATCCTCTTTTGGTATTTGTTTATGGTTTTTAAAAATTGTTGACACTATTACAAATGTCCCCATCCCCACCCTCGCTCCTCGCCCTCTGGCCATCACCACTTCCAGTGAAATCTCGACAAATTTTTGTACTGGTTTCTAAAGGAATTAATCTCTATTGAGCCTATTTAAACTAGTTCGTGAGTAGGAAGTTCTGAATTAGTTATCAAATGCCCTTTGGTAATCTCTTTTAAAGACTAAACACTCATTGTTTTACTTTCATTTCTCTTGACATTTTCTTTGGGAGCTTTCTTTCCTGTTTTAAAAATTCCTTAAGTCCACACTGATTTTTATATGGGAAGGAAAATACTAGAATGTCAGGGAAGCTGTACACAGCCCTCGAAAGTGAAACTCAGCCTCAGTTGTGAGTGTTCACTGTGTGGTCAGGCAGGCACATCACAGCCCAGGAGCCTCTCGATGGAAGTAGTTTTCTCTGTTCTGATTCAGCCCAGTGCACAAGCAATGGGACCGTGATTGGAACACAAGTCAAACAGGCCAGCATTTTATAATTGGAAAATGTTAGGTTTTAAAGCTACTCAAAATTATTTATTTGGGGAGTAAGATAGTAAGGGGAGTGCGATAGTAAAGATGATTAATCAGCTCATGGTTGCTCTGCATTTCTTTCTCCTTTTTGGTGTGTGTGCCCTTGCTCTCTTCAGTCATGGAGAACTCATGTTCTTCCATTTGTTTATTTTCAAAACATAACTTTCTTGACAGCTGTTTGTTCTCAATAAAAGGTAATAAAGTCAACGATGACCACCTAAATATTTAGCGCAAGTTTTAAATGAAAAAAAAAAAACAGCACAAGGCTCTTATTAATTCAAGATTTAATATACTTAGATTTCAGGAATTATTTGATAAACAAATGCCTTTGTTTTTATTGATTCCTCTGCCCTCCTTCTGTTTGATTTTGTGAGTTTTGGTGTTTGTTTGTTTGTTTGTTTGTTTGTTTTATTAACAAGAACAAAGATTTAAGCCATCCTGGAACAGAAATCTTTTAGTGCCCACGAACTCTCTCTTTGATGGAAATTGGGGGACACTTGCCTGGCTGGTGTGGCTCAGTGATTGAGTGTCGACCCATGAAACAGGAGGTCACAATTTGGTTCTCTGTTGGGGTGCATGCTTGAGTTGTGGGCTCGATCCCTAATAGGGGGCGTGCAGGCAGCAGCCCATAGATGATGTTCCTCTCTCATCAATGTTTCTGTCTCTCTGTCCCTCTCCCTTCCTCTCTCTCTCAAAATTAATTAAAAAAATAAAAATTGTATACAAATTTTAACAACTGATAGCTCCATTTTGAAAATGAAAAATGTATTTTATTAAACACGGCATTTGTAATGATTCAAAGTGTATACTTACATTTTGGGGGCTACCCTATATATAAATCAAAATATAAATAAATACATAGTTTATCCAGAGGGAGTCTTACTGTATGTCATCTTTAACTTGTTTTGTTCCCTCAACATTATGTTCATTGGCTATATATGGCTGTGGCTGCCTCATTTTCACTGTGGTAGAATATTTCTTGGGTGGGAAATGCCCATGTTGATGGCTGGTTGGGTGGTTTTCATTCTATTGTTGTTGTACACATACCCGTAAGCGTTTTTGTGCATGTGTCATGGTTTATTAAGAGTTTTATAAGGCTGGGATTCTTGATTCATGGGGTCTGCACATCAATTTCACTAGGTGGCTCCAAGTAGGTTTCTAAGGTGGTTGTTTTCATTTTTGCCAGTTGGTTGGCTTTATAATTGTGTGTGTGTGTGTGTGTGTGTGTGTGTGTGTGTGTGTGTTGTTGTTGTTTTACTTTATTTCCCAATTTTGATTTTGAAAAATTCTCAAAACTACAGAACAGTTGCAGCAAGAATACAATGACTATACCCCTCCCTTAGATTCACCAATTAATATTTTGCTACAGTCGCTTTATTTATCTCTCTACGCACACTTGTATTTTATTTTCGTGAACCATTTGAGAGTTAGTTGTAGATGCCATTGCATTTTCCACTCATATCTAATTCAGCACGTATTTCTAAAGAACATGGACATTGTCTCACATTATCACAATATCATCACTGTACCGAGGAAAGTTAACATTTTGCTATTTTACATGAACATTACTTAATAGACAGTCCATATTGGGATTTCTCCAGTTGTCCCAAAAATGTGCTTTCCTTCAACAGCTTAATTTTTTTCATAGCTGAGGGAATTATTATAACGCAAACACCCTTGTACCCAACATCATTAGGACAAAAAACTAGAACTTTGCCAGCCACCCAGAAGCCCCTGCGTGTGGTCCACCCCATCTCAGTTCTCTTCCTCCTTCCAAAATACCCGCCATCCTGACTTTCATACTAATCACTCCCATCTCTTTCCTTATGGCTTTTTCATCTAAGTATTTATCCCTGTCACTTTAGTCTTGCCTGTTATATTATTCCTGACTTCATATCCCAGTTTTACAAACGAGGAAACCACATTTTGGAGAAGTGAATTGATCAAAATAATTCAAATGGCGAGGGACTCAGAAATGGTGGTGGTCTGCTGTACCTCAGAGGTTTGTCTGGGAATCCCTTTTCATATGCCAGAGCAGACTAGTTAGGAAGAAATGTTTGGATTAAAACAAATATTTCACTTTTGCTAATATAAATGATCATGCGTGCTGTGGACAAACATGAATTTTCTGCTATAGCCTAGCCAAGCTGACACATCAAACTAACCATCACAGTGTTCTTAGCTTATTCCTCTAGCCCTGTGTAGGCCCTCTAGCAGCCACTAGCTGCTGAGTACTTGAACTGTAGCTAGTCTGAATTGAAGTGTGCTAAAAGTTTAAATTCACAACCAATTTAGAAGACATGATAGAAATAAAAAGAATGTAAATAATCTCATTATTATTATTTATTTTTTTAAAAATATATATTTTATTGATTTTTTACAGAGAGGAGGGGAGAGAGATAGAGAGCTAGAAACGTCGATGAGAGAGAAACATCGACCAGCTGCCTCTTGCACACCCCCTACTGGGGATGTGCCCGCAACCAATGTACATGTCCTTGATTGGAATCGAACCTGGGAACTTTCAGTCTGCAGACCGACGCTCTACCACTGAGCCAAACTAGTTTCGGCAGATCTCATTATTTTTATATTGATTATTCATAGAAATAATGTTAGATATGTTGAGTTAAATGTATTGATTACTAAAAAAAAACACAAAAACACAATGAAACCCAATATATATTAAAATGAGATTATAAGGAGAATGAGTTGTAAAATATTTTAAATAAATTTCTCTGAACCAATGGACACAGAAAATTATGTGGTTAAGGCCTGGGGTGTGGGCTGGAAGGGGTCACTAGAGGAAAAAGGGAACATCTATAATACTTTCAACAATAAAAATTTTTTTAAGTAATAAAATTATTTGTCTGAAAATGCAAAAAAGTTCATTTTTGGCTTATGCTAAAGCACAAACTGTCTTTTGAAGTCAGAATGTTGTTTTATCTGAGATCATGGAGGTTTCTGCCAAGAGAGGTCTGATTTGTCATAGGGTAGATATTTCTTCAGTGAGATATTTGACTGTCATGCTTTGTTATACTATAAATGATATGTAATCAAACAAGAAAATTTTCCTAGCAACAGACTTGTTTCCCTCAACCAGAAAAATGTTTATATGTGCTCATTTTCTTTTTTAAAAATACGTTTTTATTGATTTGAGAGAGGAAGAGAGAGGGGCAGAGAGAGAGAGACAGAAACGTCTATGAGAAACATGGATTGGCTGCTTCCTGGGATTGAGCTTGCAACCTGGGCACGTGCCCTGACCGGGATTTGAACTGGTGACCTCTTGGTGCATGGATCGACCCTCAATCCACTGAGCCACCCCAGCCGGGTGTGCTTATTTTCTTAATGTCCAAAAGACGAAACAGCTTATGAATTTAGCATCTTATATTTTTGAAATCGAGATGCTGCAAGAGAGTGGACCCCACAGTGGGCACACCAGACCCTGTCCCCGCCCCACCTCTTACAAGCCTAGAAACCTTCTAGAAATTGCTCCAGAGTGCTGGGAAAGAGGGGTAGGAGCTCATGGGGGGCTGTTTTGAGGACTGAGTCTATCCATGTGAGAAACATTAAATGGACAGACTAGCGCGCTAAGCCACGATAGATACCACTGGACATTTTCATTTCTGCCTGAAAAGATAACAGCTCCTGAAAGGAAAAGGAGCCATGGGGCATGTCCCCATTAGTCAAGGAGCCTCCTATCAGTGTTTTAGTTGTTTATTACTGCGTAATGAATGACCACACATTTACTGGCTGAAAGCAATAAACATTTATTAAAATAGGCTCTGTAGGTCAGAAGCCTAATGTGAAATCAAGGTGTCAGCAGGGCTACAGTCCTTTCTGGAAGTTTCAGGGGAGAATGCTCAATCCACTGAGCCGCACCAGCCAGGTGTGCTCATTTTCTTAATGTCCAAAAGGTAAAAAAGCTTATGAATCTAGCATCTTACATTTTTGAGATTGAGGTTCTGGCAAGTATAGATAGTAGAATATATAAGAATGTCACTGGAAATACTTACCAAGCATTATGTTAGGGTAAATCCGACCTAAAGTATATTTAACTAAGTAGAGAACCACATAGTGTGTGTGTGTGTGTGTGTGTGTGTGTGTGTGTGTGTGTGTGTGTGTGTGTGAATATATATATTTATTTGATTTTGTACAGAGAGGAAGGGAGAGAGATAGAGAGTTAGAAACATCGATGAGAGAGAGTCATCCATCAGTTGCCTCTTGCACACCCCCTACCGGGGATATGCCCGCAACCAAGGTACATGCCCTTGACCGGAATCGAACCCGGGTCCCTTCAGTCCCCAAGCTGACGCTCTATCCACTGAGCCAAACCGGTCTTGGCAGTGTTTTTGTTTTTTTGTTTTTTGTTTTTTACCTCGCCCTTTCCCAACTTTATTTTTTTTATAATATATTTTTTTATTAAATTATTATTTTTGTACATATACCAATGGCCCCCCCTCCTGTACATACCCTCCCTCCCCAAAGTTTTGTGTCCATTGGTTGTACTTATATGTATGTATACAAGTCCTTCGGTTGATCTCTTATCTCCCCCAGATCTCCCCAACCTCCCCACTGTAATTTGACAGTCTGCTTGTTGCTTTACTGTGTGTGTGTTTTTTAATCCTCACTGGAGGAAATTTTTTCCCCCCATCAATTTTTAGAGAGTGGAAGGGAGGGAGGGGGAGAGAAATAGAGAGAAAAATCGGTGTGAGAGAGACAATCGGTTGCCTCCTGCACACACACTGAGTGGGCCGGGATTGGGCCCACCAACCCAGGTACTTGCCCTTGAACCAGAATTGAATCCGGACCCTTTGGTCCCTGGGCCTATGCTCTAACCACTGAGAACACTGGCCAGTGTGAGAACTACATAGTTTTTTAAAAAAAATTATATTTTTATTGATTTCAGAGAGAAAGGGAGAGGGGGAGAGAGATAGAGAAACATCAATGGTGAGAGAGAATCATTGAACAGCTGCCTCATGCACGCCCTCCCCGAACAAGGGCAAGTACCCTTGACCGGGATCGAACCCAGGACCCTCTGGTCCGCAGGCTGACGCTCTCTCCACAGAGCCAAACCAGCTAGGGCCATAGTTTTTATGACAGACCCAATTGTTATCTCATCTCCATAAGTCTCTTTTTAATTCTTCTTGTTCTTTATTATATACCCAGACTTTTTTTTATATACAAATGCTTGAATACTGTTGTAGGAGGTCCTAAGGATATTGTGCCCTTGTAAAGCTTATATATTAGTGAAGGATTCAAACATGAGTGAACGATTTACCCAAATCAGGAAGCTCTTGTGTGTGAATGTGAATAAAAGGTTCTTATCTAAACCAGTGGTCGGCAGACTCATTAGTCAACAGAGCCAAATATCAACAGTACAACGACTGAAATTTCTTTTAAGAGCCAAATTTTTTAAACTTAAACTTCTATTTTTTAAAATAGGCTCACCCAGGCTGTGTATTTTGTGGAAGAGCCACACTCAGGGGCCAAAGAGCCGCATGTGGCTCGTGAGCCGCATTTTGCCAACCTCGGATCTAAACCAAAGGGCAGTGGACCGAGGAAGCTTAGATCTAAAGGATGAATAGCATTTCAGTCAGCAAAAATTGGGATTGATCAATCGATGTCAGGGTACATTTTGCAAAGTTCTCGTCATAGAAAAGAGCTTGGCAAGTTGAAAGAGCAACAGCAAGAAGGCCTGTGGGAGTGTGTGTGTGTGTGTGTGTGTGTGTGTGTGTGTGTGTGCAAGTGGCACTGGAGGAACAGAGTAAGGCACAGGTAGTGAATGCTATAGAACTCTGTTCAGAGCAACAAGTAGACTGGGGTATTGTATAATGATCCATCAAACAATACATATGGCCTTGTTCCCCAGAACTCAATCATCAAGAGGATATGGTCTGTAGCTATGGCTGGTGATCATGATATAATTTATCATCCAAACCAGAATACTTTACTAGTAGAGCAGGGGTGAGGAATGTCCAGCCTGCAGTCCATATAAGGCCCATGAAATCATTCAGTCTGGCCCTGCCAAGGCATTAGGGATTAGTTAATTAAATGCTTGAACAAATATAGCAGGCTGATTTTTAAAGTTGATAATTTTGTGTGTCCCAAGAATGATATTATTAATATGCAAGTAGCCCTCGGCAGACAAAAGCTTCCCCCCCCCTGCTGTGGAGTGTGAAAGGTACACTGTGTGCTGAGACAATAGGTATAAACCAGTAGAACTTGGGCAAGCCAGGGTGTATGATCCCCATGAGACCAGTTCTCAAACACTCCGGTAATCCTGAAGTTGCCTGGAAACCATGCTCTGAAATCACAGGATTAGTCACATGTTTCTGCTCTCTCACCCCCCCCGCCTCCTTCACCCACGGGCAGGAGAACCTGCACCACGTCTAGACCACAGAATGACAGCCCCATTGCCTGCTTCACTGCAGCCTAATGTTTTTCGGGGTGCCGTCTCCCGAGAGCTCAGATCCTTGCTGTGTACATCAGGCCTTACTAAAATGAAAGTCTTCAAAACATAGGGAAGGAAGGAAGGCCTCTGAGCACATAAACCTCCACTAGAAACTTTCCTACATCACTTCTCACGGATGACATGACCTAATTATATGTTCCCAGGTGGCGGCCAGGCAGTACGGGTGTGATCTGATCATAAGCTTTTTCAGAGTAAACATGTTTTGTGGCTTGGCCCCTATGGTGGATGATACACAGTGAAGTCCCCACAGGACTCGTCCTCGTAGTTGTAAACCTCGTTTAACAATGACTGTGACATAAAGTGGTACAGAAATCTTTTCACTGCTGATTTTACTTTCTTTTTTATAGACTCAGCTGTTTGGCTGACTTAGTATAGTGAGGTTTGATGGAGCTTTATTTCCTGATTCCCGCTGTGCCTGTCACTGTCACCTCTGGGAGCCTTAGTAATTCCTTAAATTTACTAAGAAATGGGTCACTTTGTATTCTAATATTTAGTGTTCGATTCAACCAGATGCTGAAGACTGACACTGTTTCTCTTCAAACTGTACTAATATTCTTACTTTTTGTTTTACAAGCCAGGAAATGTGAAGAATTCATCTGGAAATAAGTAGAATACTCCAATTCAGCCCGTTTTAATCAGGTAAAGAATAGGAACATTCTGGCTATTTTAGTATTGTTAGCACCAGCTAAAATGAGCTCTTTAATGAATTCAATCAATTCTATAAATGGATTACAGCAGTTTCAACTTTATGTGTAAACAAAGGACAAGACGGCATTTCATTCCATCTTTAATTTCTGGGTTTAAGTGCCATGACATGTAATTGTGTTTGTTCCTGAGAGGTACCTGGATTTTTTAGACACGATTTCAAACAATTGAAAAATGCCATTATTTCCTAAGTTTCTTTTTGCAAACTTCACTGTAGTAGGTACAGTTATACTCATCAAATAGTCATTCATTAAACATTTGTTGAATGTATGACTGTTTTAGAGAAGCTCTAGATTTAAGAGATATTATCTTAATTGACAGGGAATTCATAGGTATACTGATTCCTTCTATAAAGATTGAGTAACCTGAGGCTGGGGGAATTTAAGATGATGACAGATGAAGTCAGAAAAATCAGTTTGATTACTTCTGGTTGGTCTTATGCTCAATTTACCATTTATTTTCATTCATTTGATATTTACTCATCAAGTACCTACTAAGTTAAGAGCACTAGTTATATTATTTTGGATGCATATTAAAAGTTGTATAATAGCACTTGTGATTTCCTTGACTATATGGAATTTGGAAACAATCTAATTATTCAACTGCAGGAAAATGGCTTCTCATGGTATATCCATAAACAGGGATGTTATTATGTTTTAATAATATTTAGTTGCATGGTAATATGTACACAATTATTGTTAAGTGGAGAAAAAAAGAAAAGTATGATATACTTTTTTAAATTTTTACTGATTTGTTTTAGGGAGAGAGAAGAAGAGGAAGGGGGCAGGGAGGGAGGATGAGAGAGAGAGATAGAAACATTGATTTGTTGTTCCACTTATTTATACATTCGTTGCTTGCTGCTGCTGCTGCTGCTGCTTCTTCTTCCTCCTCCTCCTCCTCCTTCTCCTCCTCCTCCTCCTCCTCCTCCTCTTCTTCTTCTTCTCCTCCCCCCCCCCCCTAACTGGGATCAAACGCACAACCTTGTGTATCAGGTTAGTGCTCTAACCAACTGAGCTACCTGGCCAGGATGATAGTATGATACATTTTTTGAGAGGATAAAGCCCAGGAAATACAGAAAAATATTTAAGTAGTTCTGCCTTATTCAAAGATTCAATTTCTGTTATTTTAGTTACTTGTGGTCAACTGTGGTCTGAAAATATTAAATGAAAATTCCAGAAATAAACAATAATGATCAAACTCCTGATGGAGACACTTTACATATTATATATATATATATATATATATATATATATAGATAGATAGATAGATAGATAGATTATGGCTGCAATTTAAAATTTATGAATGTCCCAGGTTTGAGGTTTTTCTCTTTCAAGCTGTCTCTATATTTGGAGACCCAGAGAGTCATATAATCTTTGATTTTGAGAAGGGTCATCTGACCCACCTCCCATCCTCAAGTGTGTGCTCCCACTTTTCACTTCCACTGGTAGAAAACTCACCCCACATACATGCCCAGTTGCCGGCTCCATCCCCGGTTAGGGGCCTACAGGAGGCAGCCAATCAAAGATTCTCTCTCTTTGATGTTTCTTTCTCACCCTTCCCCCTCCCTCAAACCAATATATAATAATAATAATAATAATAATTTTATACTTATTACATGTTGAAATTATGATATTTTAGATATGTTGGGTTAAATAAAATCTATTATAAAAATTTTTTTTAAAAGAAAGAAAACTCACCCCACAGAGCAGCCATTTTGCATAGTTCTGATTTTTAGGAAGCTGTTTCTTATACTAAATGAAAATATGTCTCCTTATAAGTCCTACACAGTGGTCCTGTTCCTGCGTTAGGGGTCACAGGAAACAAATGCAGACCTGCTTTCACATCACAGCCCTTCAGATCGTAAACCCAAGTCAGCAGTTCTCAAACGTTGTTAAACAGATTACCCAGGCAGCTCGTTAAAAGGCAGAGGCCTAGGCCCTACCCAGAATCAGCATCTCTAGCGCGTGGGGCCAAGTGTGCATCCAATATGCTGTTAAAGAGAGACTAGAGCGAGAGCAGTAAGGAAGACACACTCTGTCCTCCAGAGACTTTACATTGAATATGCTTAAATTTCTCTACAGGGACAATGAAACATGGAATAAAGGGAAACTACATATCCATTTCATTTTCCAAAAATATTCTGTGCCAGAGTTCAACTTATACCAAACACAACCTTGATTTCATTCTTTGTCTTTTTTAGGTTTTTATTGGAGATGTTTGTTTTTCTGTAATCCTCAGAAAAATCCCGAGGATATTTTTCCATTGATTTTTAGAGAGAGTAAAAGGGGTGGAGTGTGTGTGTGTGTGTGTGTGTGTGTGTATGTGTGAGAGAGAGAGAGAGAGAGAGAGAGAGAGAGAGAGAGAGAGAGAGAGAGAGAGAGAGAGACATCTATGTGAGAGACACCAACTAGTTGCCTCTCCTATGTGCCCCAACCAGGGCCAGGGATCGAACCTACAACTGAGGTACATGCCCTTGACCAGGAATTGAACCTGGGACCCTTCAGTCCCAGGGCTGACACTCTAACCATTGAGCAAACTGGCCTGGGCAAGATGTATTTTTAATTTTACAAGTGATGCATATTTTTATAAAGATACTTTTTAAAAACTCGCCTTCTATTCCTTTCCCAGAGGTAATTTCTGTTAATATTGTGGCATATCATTCTAGACCTTCTCCCTATCTATTAATATGTATCCATTTATACTTTGTTTTGTTTTTTTTGACAGAATGAGATCATATCCCTTGTGTTGTTTTACAAGAACACTGAAAACTCCCTGAAGGCACATAATGCAATTTTATGATCACACCTAAAGAAATTAACACTAATTCCTTAATATCATCCAAATAACCAGACAATATTCGGACTTTTCTGATTGTCTCATTAATAACATTTTATACTTGGTTTGTTTGATCAGGATCTAAACAAGATCAGCTCATTGTGTTTAACTGATAGGTCTCTTTTTAAAATATATATATATATATATATATATATATATATATATATATATATATATATATATTTATGGATTTCAGAGAGGAAGGGAGAGAGAGAGAGAGAGAGAGAGAGAGAGAGAGAGAGAGAGAGAGAGAGAGAGAGAAATAGAAACACCAATGATGAGAGAAAATCACTGATTGGCTGCCTCCTGCATGCTGCCTACTGGGGATTGAGCCTGCAACCCAGGCATGTGCCCTTGACCGGAATCAAACCTGGGACCTTTCAGTTCGCAGGCTGACGCTCTATCCACTGAGCCAAACTGGCCAGGGCTGATAGGTCTCTTACGCCCCTTTTAAACTGTAATACTTCCTTCTCCCTCATTTTTCCTTCCTATTTATTTGTTGAAAACCTTGCCTTGTTTGTCCTTTAGAATTTTCCATGTGGCTGTGGCTGAGTGTATCCATTTCGTGTCATTTTGTTTCTCTCTTGGTTCCTCTCTTCTGTGCATTTCCTATAAACTGATGGATCTGAAGGCTTAATCAGATTTAGGTTCAATTTTTTTTTAAAGAATACTTCATAGACCATGCTAGGTTTAACTATATTGAATTAATGAACTTGCCTTTTTTCACTTAATATATTGTGTACATTTTCCCTGTTTGGTACTTCTGAATCTATGTCACTCCTTTAGCTACATAATAATATCCCAGTATGGATTACCATGATCTATTGCCTTATTAATATAGGTTGTTTCCAGTTTGTGGTTTTTAGCAATGCAGTAAAACTCTTGAATTCTTAGAGAAGTCCAAGGCAGATTAATAATCTGAGATAGAAAAGGTAAGCTAGTGGCTTACATGTTTAATTTAAGAATTTTTTATTTTATCTTAGAAGATCAAAGAAGTAGTCACTGGACTCTAAAATATTTATAAACCTCTAGTTGCTAAGTAGATTCTTCACATATTAGAGGAAAAGCAGTATAGAGAAGAGCCAGTTTACCTTTGGTGTGTCTGGATTGCCGTGTATCTCATTCCAGAAAAGAATGATGGGGTGTTTCGAGGAAAGGTAGATGTCAGACTGACAGTAATACAATCATGTTCTCCAACAGATGGACAAAAATAGAGATGTTTAGTTTTCAGAAAGGGTGAGGTGGGGGTTGCTGTGCCACTTAAGCGTTTGTTTATTTATTTAATGTTTTAATTGACTTTCTAGAGAGAGAACATTAGTGTGAGAGAGAAACATTGATGTGTTGTCTCCCACATGCCCCTCAGGTGGTGGTGAAACCCCAAACCTGGGGTGTGCCCTGACTAGGGATGGAATCCACCACCTTTCTGTGCGTGGGATGGCACTCAACCAATTGAGCCACACTGGCCAGGACTGGGCGTTTATTTATTATTTATAAATTCATCCATCTGTTTAATTAGCTCAGATATACAGCCAGTTGAAAATCTGAATGTGGTATTGATGAAACATAAAGCCTTTCGGGTATTTAGTGCCTGTCTATAAAATGAGAATAAGTACGCTTTTCTCTTGCTCCTTATGAGCCTCATGGTCATATAATGCTAATGGAAATATTTATTATGGTTTCTCTATGTGATCCTAAAGAATTTTTAAAATGCAAAATTGTAGCATTGCTTTTATTTTTTTTCTGGCATGGTTTACTTATGTTGTTTTTCTTTTAGTTATAGGTAAACATTGGAAACTCCATACAATAAACCAGTGTTTCTACAGAAAAATGGAAGAGATGTCATTATTGAATGTAGTAAACAGGCTTTTTTCTTCAGAAAAACCACACTAGGCCTCAGTGTTACCTTGGGTGATATCATACTACAAAGGGACTAATCTAAAATCTTTCCACCTCCAGACAATGTACATGCCTTTGAACTTCTTGCTATTTATGTACATAATTAAAATTCCAAGTTAAAAAAGTTGTGCTGCTTCCCCTCCCCCCCATATTATGGAGCAACAATTCAAGTGTATCTATTGCCAATGTGTGTATATGGTGTATGTGTGGTGTGTCTCAGAGTATACATGCATGTGTGTGCCTGTATGTGGTGTATATGTGTGATGTGTGTCTGAGTATGCATGTATGTGTGGGTGTGGGTGGCATGTATGTGGATATCTCTGAGTATACATGTGTGTGGCTTGTATTGTGTTGTGTATCTTTGAATGTATATGTGTTTGCGTGTGAGTGTGTATGTGAAAACTTTATTCTTTTAAAAAACATTTTTTAAAAATATATTTTTATTGATTTCAGAGAGTAAGAGAGAGGGGGGAGAGACATATCAATGATGAGAGAGAATCGTGATCACTTGCCTCCTGTACGCCCCACACTGGGAGGTCAAGTCCGCAACCCAGACATGTGCCCTGACCAGGAATCAAAACGTGACCTCCTGGTTCATAGGGCAATGCCCAGCCACTGAGCCACACCGGCTGGGCTATGTACTCTCCTCTGAGCAGCATCAGCTAGCAATCTGCAGTCTGTGCCCCACAACAAAGTCGAGTCAAGAAGAGTGGCTCTAGAACCAAGAGACGATGCTTCGAGGGCCAGCACAAGGAACCAAACCTGTAAGTAACAGTCTGCCCGACTCCGATTATAAGATATAAAAATGGTGAGTGGGAACCCTTGTGTGCTGTTGCCTCCCAGCTTGCACAGAGCTTCCCGTTCTTCACTGCCAGTGGGAGGTGCTTAATGAAGCAGGCTTTGTCTTCACTGCCAGTGGGAATGCTATGTGCTTGTGTGTGGTGGTTCTCTGTATGTAGGCCTTGTATTCGCCTTTGTGGCCCCCGAATGCCCAGCTCATTGAACTCCATGTCCCCAGCGCTGGTGAGAATAGCAAGAGCCTCTTTGGACTTGTCAGCCAGCCAAGAAGGAAGGTAGGGAACAGTATGTGAAAGATTTGGAAATTAAAAATCCTTTTTGTATTTCCATAGCATCAATGTAATCACCAATTGTTGATCTTAGAGAATTGATAGGAGTTGGTAAAATAGTAATATGCAAATGGAACGTGCACGTGTTAATATTAAATATATTTGATAGATTCAAAGTGGCAGGAATGGTACCAACATGGTTACTGGATTAATGAGCTGAAACACATTTGTCCCTAGAACAATCCTGCTAGAGACCCAGAAGTCTTTTACTTCCTTTTATGCTGAAATACTTTGTGTTACTGTAGCAATCACCCTGTATAATACAACTAATATGCTAAGCATCCAACCATTTGACCAGTCGCTATGACGCACACTGACCACCAGGGGCCAGATGCTCCGACCAGTGGATTAGCTTGCTGCTGGGTCCAGCTGATCGGAACTGGGCAAAATGGGTTGCACATGCCCTGAAGCTCTCCCATGGTCCCTCCCCAGCCCTGATCATGCCCCGGTGGGGTGTCTCGGCCTGGCTTGCACCCTCTCACAATCCAGGACCCCTTGGGGATGTCAGAGAACCAGTTTCAGCCCAGTCCTTGCAGGTCAGGCCGAAGGACCCCACCAGTGCACAAATTCGGGCACTGGGCCTCTAGTTTCAATATAGTAAAGCTGTGCCTAAATTATATCTCATTATATTATCTTATTATAATATCTCATTATATTATTATTTCAGGCCTTTCCCATTGACTTGTCTTCCTACGTCACCTCCCAAAAGTAGAGATTCCACAAGTTTCCTTGTTCTTGAGATTGCTTGGTCTAAAGAAGAGGAAGAAATGGCCCACACCATAGCATGCTCTGGAGATAATTAATCAAAAGGTATTTGAGCTCTAGCCGGTTTGGCTCAGTGGATAAAGCATTGGCCCACGGGCTGAAGGGTTCGATTACAGTCAAAGGCACAGACCTTGGTGGCCGGTTCTCCAGGAGTGGCCCTGGTTGGGGTGCGAGCAGGAGACAACCAAACTATGTGTCTGTCTCACAGCGATGTTTCTCTCTGTCTCCCTCTCCCTTCCACTCTCTCTAAAAATCAATGGGAAAATATCATCGGGTGAGGATTAACAACAACAACAAAAAGGTATTGGAGTGTCTCCTAACTATAAGGTATTACTTCCCCTTTTTAATTGTTCATTCAATATTGAAACATTGCCTTAAAACCTCTTAACTCCTCTAAGGGGGATGCAGAGGGGGGTCACAGAGCCGGGTCCTACTGGTACCTGGTCCGTATCTAGTACAGCAGGGGGCTCATTCCCAGCCAGTGTAATTCACTCACCTTTTTCGCTATGACCTTTTCTTTGTGTGGTTCTTGTGTCCAGTGCTGCCTTCTTTATATATTTAACACTTTTCCCATGCCTTCCAGGAACACCCAGCTGTAGGGAATATAAAATTTGCAGATCATGATATCTTGCATTTCTCTAGCTCCTTATCCTTTCAGAGCGCTATTTTATTCTTTTCTTCCTTGGTTTATTCCTGACTTCAGTATGCTTGTACTGTTTTTGTGTCCTGCAGTGATACTCAGCGTTTAAACGTTTTAGTCTGTTTCCTCTGACCATTTCTCCTTAACTAAACTATGAACTTCAATGCAATTTATGTGTAACTTAGTCAACATAGTTCTATCTGAATAACTTCAGGGAATTTAGAGGGAACATTATCATACAGAGTGATTTTAGCTCACCTAAACAGACAGATATGATATAGTCTGGTCTGTGATATTGTGGAGTCCTAAGAAAAATTACTTCGTCGGAAATCAGGATTTAAAGGCAGTTGCTGCCGTGGGAATAAAAGGGAGTAAGGGCACTAAAGAATGTCTTCATGCCCGGCCGGTGTGGCTCATTGGTTAAGTATGTCCTCATGAACCGAGAGGTCCCGGTTTGATTCCCGGTTAGGGCACATGCTCCAGTTGTGGGCGTGGTCCCTGGTGGGGGGGGTGCAGGAGGCAACCCATCAATGTGTCTCTCTCGATGTTTCTATCTCTGTCCCTCTCCCTTCCTCTATCTCTAAAATAAAAACGTATTTTTTAAAAAACTGTCTTCATCAATCTTGTCACTGGTGGCACCTCTTGGGACAAAATCAAAATAGTAGTAGTAGGAACACCACCCACCTGGGCAGTGGAGTAGCAGGTGCCTGGGCTATTGGATCAGCACTTTTGTCCCAAGTGCTGGATTCCACCCAGCAGCACGTCCCTAATGGATCAGTGACCTATCCAGGTGGCCTGAAGACAATTCATTCGCTGCAAAATGCCCGGATTCACATATGCATATGGAAAAATGTGAGTTGCTTGTGACTTACTGCCAAATCAATGGCAGTTAGAATTAGGCCACGTAGTATTACTACTGGTTTGTATTCGTTTAAAATATAAAATTCAGAATCCTTGAATTCACTGGGAAAAGAGACAGAGATTCTGTTCTCTCAGTTGTCTGTCCTGTTTCAAGGAATGCACTTTGCACTCTTGTTTTGGGGAAGGCTTGATAGTTAGAGAAACAGTTTTCTCTGTGACTACGGGTATCCGTGCTTATTATGTAAGCTGAATGATTTGCCCCGAATGTAAAAGTTTTCAATTTTTCCCCCCCCAAAAACCGGTTTGGCTCAGTGGTAGAGCGTTAGCCTGCGGACTGAAGGGTCCCAGGTTCGATTCCCATCAAGGGCATGTACTGTGGTTGCGGGCACATCCCCGATGGGGGGTGTGTAGGAGGCAGCTGATTGATGTTTCTCTCTCATCGATGTTTCTAACTATCTCTTTTCCTCTCTGTAAAAAATCAATAAAATATATATTTTTTAAAAGTTTGCACTTTTTAATTTATCACACCCACCTAGCCTAATGCAGTCACCACTGTCAGGGGGACCAGCAATGTATTTGTGGAACTAAACTCTCACCTAAGGCTTAATTTTAATTAAGGTAAATATTTGAGTTAATGGTTCCATTCACCACTGGTTGAAAGAAACTTCCTCGAGGTTTTGTTTTTTCCCTGTTCACCGCCTGTCTGATGTATTGTTTCCATTCCCATAGGTTCATATTTCAAGTCAGTAATTAGCCAGCTCACAGTTCTAAAAGTACAATTAGGTCAAACTCCAGACGTGACCGAAGTTCAAGCTTATTTATGTTTATGAAATGATAGCCAAGGAAATTTATAGATGGAGAAAATGCTTGTTTCGTAAGGCAGGCATTTCCCTATTTCACATTTTGTTTGCTTAGCAGTGCTGAACAGATTTGGGAATTAAAAAGTCATTTTTAGTTTCTGTATTTCACACTTAAGGGCCGTTATCATCTTAACCAACTCCAGAGCTTTGTTGTTGGACTTCAGCTGTGTCTCTAGAAGGCAGAAGAATAGTGCAGGAAGTGACTCTTCTCCCTGCCCACCCCAACCTGGAAAATAGTCTTTAGTCTCTGTGTTCAAAGAGTTAGTTGGTGAATGCTCTGTTCTCCCTTCAGTGCTGGCCTGACTTGGGAATAGACAGGACAGGTGGGGAGAACAAGAAAAAGGCAAAGATGGAGAGAAATACAGGATTCAAAGACTGCTCCCGACATTCAAAAGTGAAGTCATAGTGAGTCCTTCTAATGCTTACGTGATGCAATACTGGGATTTTGTTTGCAAATCTGAGTGTGGTTGAAGGGATGACTTTAAATGTTTTGTTCACTACAGGCAAAATATGAGCTGTCTAATTTATCTCCCATATCTCTTATAAACCGTAAGAAGGTGATCTAAGTGTCAGAATATATACATTATTTTCTCCTGAAACCCAAAGAAGACCAGAGGAAGGGAATTTTGAAGATGACATTAGCATACAAGGAAAGAATGGAAAGAGGGAGACAATGGGATTTTATTTTTTGCAGCAGAATTAGTGACCACTGACTCCTTTTTAAAATAATTATTGACACTATTGCAGATGTTCCCCATTTCCCCTTCCCCTTTGCCCATCTCCACCCAGCCCCAACCCCCCTCCCTCTGGTCATCACTACACATTGTCTGTGTCCATGGGCTGTGCATATATGTTCTTTGGCTAATGGCTTCACCTTTTATCCAGTTTCTTTCCCCCCATCCCCTCTGACCTCTGTCAGTGTATTCCAATTTATCCATGCCTCTGGTTCTATTTTGTGCATCAGTTTATTTTATTCATTAGATTCTACATACAAGTGAGATTATATGGTTTCTCTTTCTCTGACCGGCTTATTTCGCTTAGCATAATACTCTCCAGGTCCATCCGTACTGTCACAAAGGGTAAGAGATCCTTCTTTTTTAAGGCTGTATAGTATTCCTTTGTGTAAATGTACCACAGCTTTTAAAAAATATGTTGTTATTGATTTTTAGAGAGGAGGAGAGATAGAAACATTGATGAGAAAAATATCAACATCAGTTGGCTGCTTCCTGTATGGCCCTGCTGGGGATTAAGCCCACAATTCCTGCATGTGCCCTGACCAGGAATTAAAACCAGTGACCTAAACACACACACACACACAAAAAAAAAAAAACAGTGCATATATTATTTCTGATTGGTGTTTTGGGATTCTTAGGATACATTCCTAGAAGTGGTCAAATGGAAGTTCTGTTTTTAATTTTTTGAGGAAATGCCATACTGTTCTCCACAGTGGCTGCACCAGTCTGCATCCCCACCAACAGTGCAGGAGGGTCCCTTTTCTCCACATCCTCGCCAGCACTTGTTTGTTGATTTATTGATGGGAGTCGTTCTGACAGGTACAAGGTGATATCTCTATGGTTTTAGTTTGCATCTCTCTGATGACGAGTGACGCTGAGCATTTTTCCACCTGTCTATTGGCCATCAGTATATCCTCTTAGGAGAAGTTTTTCTTCAGGGCCTTTGCCCATTTTTAAATTGTATTGTTTATATTCCTGGTTTTGAGTTGTATGAATTCCTTGTATATTTTGGAAATCAACTCCTTATCAGATGTGTCATTGATAAACATGTTCTCCCATAAAATAGGTTCCCTTTTCTTTTTAAAAAAATATATTTTATTGATTTTGTACAGAGAAGAAGGGAGAGAGATAGAGAGCTAGAAACATCGATGAGAGAGAGTCATCGATCAGCTGCCTCTTGCACACCCCCTACTGGGGATGTGCCCGCAACCAAGGTACATGCCCTTGACCGGAATCGAACCCAGGTCCCTTCAGTCCCCAAGCTCTATCCATTGAGCCAAACTGGTTTCAGCTAGGTTCCCTTTTCATTTTGATGCTAGTTTTTGTTTTGTTTTTGTTTTTGTGGGGGTTTTTTTGTTTTGCTGGGCAGAAGCTTTTTAGTTTGATGTAGTCCCATTTGTTTATTTTGTCCTGTGTTTGTTTTTTCTAGGAGATGTATCAACAAAAATATTGCTAGGAGAGATCTCTAAGATTTTACTGCCTATGTTTTCTTCCAGGATTTTTTTGGTTTCGCACCTTACATTTAAGTCTTTTATCCATTTTTTAAAAAACATATTTTATTGATTTTGTACAGAGAGGAAGGGAGAGAGACAGAGAGTTAGAAACATCGATGAAAGAGAGTCATCGACCAGCTGCCTCTTGCACACCCCCTACTGGGGATGTGCCCGCAACCAAGGTACATGCCCTTGACCGGAATCGAACCCGGGACCCTTCAGTCCCCAAGCCGACGCTCTATCCATTGAGCCAAACCATTTTTTTTTTTTTTTTTTTTAGTTTATTCTTGTGTGTGGTGTAAGTTGGTGGTCTAGTTTCATTGTTTTGTATGGACCTATCAAGTTTTCCCAACACCATTTATTGAAGAGACTGTCTTTACTGCATTGTATGCTCTTGCTTCCTTTGTCAGATATTAATTGACCATAGAGACGCACTGTTCTGTTTCATTGATCTATATGCCTGTTCTTATGCCAGTTATAGGCTGGTTGCTTTCTTTTAAATCCTGTCCAGAGGATATTTTTTCTGTTAATTTTGAGACAGAGTGGAAGAGAGAGGGGGAGAGAGAGAGAAAAAAACATTGATGTAGAGAGACACATCAATTGGTTGCCTCCTGCATGAGTCCCAACCGGGGCCAAAGATTGAACCTGCAACCGAGGTATGTGCCCTTGACCAGGAATCGAACCCTCAACCCTTTGGTCTGTGGGCCAGAGCATTACCATACTGTTTTGATTACAATGGCATGTAGTATGTTTTGATATCAGGTATTGTGATACCTTCAACCTTGTCCTTCTTTCCCAAGATTGCTGAGACTATTCAGGGTCTTTTTTGGTTCCATATAAGTTTTTGAAATATTTGTTCTAGATCTGTGAAATATGCCATTGGTATTTTAATAGCGATTGCATTGAATCTCTATAGATTTCTTGGAGTAGTATGGACATTTTAATGATGTTAATTCTTCCATTCCATGAACACAGTATATGCTTCCACTTATTTGTATCCTCCTCAGTTTCCTTCTTTAATGTCCTATGATTTTCTGAATACAGGTCTTTTACCTCCTTGGTTAAGTTTATTTCTATGTACCTTTTTTTTAAAAAAATTATTTTATTTTTTTACATTTTTTATTGATTTTTTTTACAGAGAGGAAAGGAGAGGAATAGAGAGCTAGAAACATCGATGAGAGAGAATCATTGATCAGCTGCCTCCTGCGCACCCCCTACTGGGGACATGCCCACAACCAAGGTACATGCCCTTGACCAGAATTGAACCCGAGACCTTTCAGTCTGCAGGCTGATGCTCTATCCACTGAGCCAAACCAGTTTCAGCCTTATTTTTTGTTGTAACAGTAAATGGGATTGTTTTCTTAGTTTCTCTTTCTGATAGTTCATTATTGGTGTATAAAAATGCCATTTATTTCTGAATATTAATTTTGTAATCTTGCTACTTGGCTGAATTCCTTTATTAGATCTAGTAGTTTTTTGGTGGAGTCTTTAAGGTTTCCTATGTATAATATCTTGTCATGTACAAACAATGATAGTTTTACTTCCTCCTTTCCAATTTGGATGTCTTTTATTTCTTCTTGTCTGATCACTGTGACTAGCACTTCTATTACTATCCTGTATAATAAAAGCCTAATATGCTAAGTGACTGTTCGTTTGACCAGTTGCTATGATGCACACTGACCACCAGGGGGCAGGTGCTCCAACCAGTAGATTAGCTTGCTGCTGGGGCCCGGCCGATCAGGACTGGGTGAGATGCACTGGACACGCCCTTGAGCCCTTCCGTGGTTCCTTTCTGATCAGCCCTGATTGGGACTGGATGAGATGAGCCAGACATGCCCGAGAGCCCTCCTGCCGTCCCTCCCTGGCCCCGATCATGCACAGGTGGGGTTCCTCAGCCTGGCCTGTGCTCTCTTGCAACA